CTGCTGAGCCACCCAGGCGTCCCACATCAGCAGTTTCATATGGTTAACATATGGCTAACAATAAATCATTAGGTTAGATTGTACCTTGCCTCCTTGACCACAAACAAAATGGTAAATAAAGCACTCTTTTGTAGAGAGACCTCTCTTTCCCAGTAATCTCTTATTCATTTTCTTTCCCTACACTTTTCCAACTTTTCTGGGAGTCATTTGTGTAACACTAGGAAAAAACAGGAAAAGATACTGAGACAAAAATGTTGAGAACAAACACAATGCCAGACAATGGCTCATAGTATGACCTACTTGCTCAGTGTGAGCATGTTAGCAGCAGCAGAGATGCACATCCCCCTATGGACATTGGTTTTGCAAGGTGTCTACAGGTGATTCGAAGTTCTGTCAATTATAGGATTATAACTCAAAGACTTTTCCTGCCCATAATTTTGTTTAAAATGCTATACACTAAGTTTTGGAAGATAAATTTTTTTCCCTCCACATAAACACAGGCTAGAAAAATAAAAATGAATTGAGAGATTTATACATTTTATGTTTGGTTATTAAAAAAAACAGGGTTGTTCTACGCAGGCAGGGCAGGTATTCTACAGAATAGGTCTGTATTTAATTTCTATACCGTATGCTAGAAACTTTTTGTTATTAAGATTTTGGAAGCTGTTCATTCTTCGGTCTTTCCCTAGCCTTGTAACCTAAATGGGAAGTGCACCTCATTTTGTAATGCCACCTAATATTATCCTCTCTACAATCATGATCTGGGGGTGGCTGGGTGGCTCAGTAGGTTAAATGTTTGACTCTTTGTTTCAGCTCAGGTCATAATCTAAGGGTTGTGAGATGGAGCCCCACAACAGGCCCCATGCTCTGCACCATGTCTGCTTGAGATTTTCTGTCTATGCCCCTGCCTCTGCTCACATGCCTGAGCACATGCCCCCCCCCCAACACACACACACTCTCTCTCAAATAAATAAAATCTTAAAAAACAAAAAACAAACAAAAAAAACAAACCCTAAGCCCCATCATGATCTTTTAGCAGGTGGGATATTCAGAAATCTTGGCACCAGCATGGGATGGGGGTGGGGGGTGAATATGAGGTTTGAAAACATAGCAGTGTTTGATCTCATTACTTTTTTGAGTAGTTATGTATGTATTGGGGCACCTGGGTGGTTCAGTCGGTTAAGCATCTGCCTTCAGCTAAGGTCACGATCTCAGGGTCCTGGGATCCAGCCCTGCATTGGGCTCTCTGCTCAGTGGGGAGTCTGCTTCTCCCTCTCCCTCTGTGCTTTCTCTCTTAAATAAATAAAATCTTCAAAAAATCATACATATGTATTTATATATACACATACGTTTACTTGCAAATCTAACTCAAGGAGGGCATGAGAAGTCTGGGTTCAGAAATACTACTTTAAAATGAGTATTTTTTTAATAGCAAAAGATGCAGTTAAGTACTTCTCAGTCCATTTATTTATAAAACTCTTGATTCCATTTTTATCAGCCACTGAGCACTTACTATGTGACAGATACTGTTCTAAGTACATTACATGTATTAATTCCCCCTTGGAGCTTAGATCGTTAGAGCTCAGGGATCCCTGGGTGGCTCAGCGGTTTGGCGCCTGCCTTCAGCCCAGAGCATGATCCTGGAGACCCGGGATCGAGTCCCACGTCGGGCTCCCTGCATGGAGCCTGCTTCTCCCTCTGCCTGTGTCTCTGCCTCTCTCTCATGAATAAATAAACAAAATGTTTTAAAAAAAAATCCTTAGAGCTCTGTAAGCTCTTTATTTCTATTTTACAAATGAAGAAAGTTCTCATAGTTGGTGTGGAGCAGGGACTTGAACCCAGGAATGTTGGCTTCTATGCCAAGACCAGATCGGTATTTCTAGATTAGAGAACTGTTGTCTTCAATCTATTTCTACCAGTCCATTTTTTTTCCCTGTTCCTTATCAGTATGCTCCCTTAGATGCAACTAAGCAATGCTCATATTCACCTGCTAGGCAAATTCAAGTGATACTCCTCTCCTCCCTTGCCAGACCCATCCAGCAAAGGATCAGCAACCAGAAGAGAAGAGCCTGAAAGTAATCAGGTTTATTTTGTCCCACCTGGGCCTTAGTTTCCCCACTGATAACTTGGGTAATTTCTGAAATTAGATTTCAAAGCTAGATGCTCCGTGTATAGCTCTACAGTCTTTCTGCACACACACACACACACACACACACACACACACACACACCCCTTGAACATTCATTAAAATAAATCTGTCCATAGTTACTAAAGAATACAAATGCACAAATGACAATCAAAATTCTTTCTCTTATTCCCTGGGAGCAAGCACTGTCAACAGTTTGCTTATAATTAAGGTTAGCATTGTAACTTTAAATTTAGACCTCTATCTTATGATTTATCCACTTTAGATTACATTTATCTTTTGAGTACCAACTATGGAAGATGAGGAGCATACACTCACCTTTCCATTAATCTTTCTTTCCTGTTATCTCTCCATTTTTGCTATATTATTTTTCCATTATCAAGGTTAATAATTTGCACTCAAAATTTTTTTTAAAGACTTTATTTATTCATAGAGACAGAGACAGAGACAGAGAGAGAGAGAGAGAGAGAGAGAGAGAGAGAGGTGCAGGCACTATGCAGAGAGCCTGACATGGGACTCGATCCAGGGTCTCCAGGATCACGTCCTGGGCTGCAGGCGGCGCTAAACCGCTGCGCCACCGGGGCTGCCCTGCACTCCTAATTCTTGTATGCTTTGTCTCTGGTGGATTCTAAAGTTTATAAACTCATAAATAGCATTCACAATGTTATCATGATGTATAAATACTTCACTAGAGAACCAAGCATGGATGGACCATAATAAAGAAAATACTCCATGTCTACAGAGCTACTAATCTAATAGACCAAAAAAAAAAAAAAAAAAAAAAAAGCAAAAGAATCAAATAGGTATCTAATAACACTTATTGAACACTTAATATTATGCTAAGCAGCCTACATATATCATTTTATTTAATCCTCAAAACAACCACACAAGAAGGAATTATTAACCCAACTTTGCAAAAAAGAAACCAAAGCTAACATTGTGTATCACTTGCCCACCTTGGCTAATATGGAGCACCCAGGGATCTGAATCCAGGTATGGCTCCAGGGCCTGAACTCTTCACCACTATACTGCTTGCTCATACTATTCTTTCACTTTCCTTCTCCTAGCAATGTCTTATTAGCACCCTGAATAGTAGACAATGTGTTATTCAACAAGGCAGAACTTCAAGTCATCCTGTCTATATATTAAGCTTGTTTTTGACTACATGTTTTATTCCAAATTTTAAAAAATTATTTAACTGACACAATATCTAGCCTTTCTACTCACCAAATCTGGGAAGCATTAAAGACTATGTTCTATGTCTGGATTTCAAAACATGGTATGGGAAAGCAAAGTGTAGTTTTGACTTTTCCTGTTCACATATTAAGAATGACAGAACATTTAAAGCAGTGGCCCAACACAGAAAAATTCTTTAAAACTCGGGAAAGAAACTATAGATGAAACCTTCTTAAGGATACAGTTATCTCTCTTCTTTGATCTTATTTTTTAATCGGGGGATAAGTTAAAAGGGTTACTGAATTACCTTGGTTTCTTGCTACATTATATACAGTATGCAGCCATATACTGGGTAAATTTCATTCCCAGTTATTTTTTAATCCGATTTCTAAAATACACAGGTGAAGAGAATCTCATTTATAGGCCAATTGTCTCCTTATGATTTCTAAGTACAGATATTACTTTCCTCCCCCCAAATCAAAGGATCACAGGGCCAGATGTAAATCACATTCTCCAGATCTTCTATGGCAGGAGGTTAAGGATCCGGGTTGTAATTATAACCTAAGTCCTGACACCACTTCGATCCAACAAAATATATTGTTATACTGAGTCAATAACTAATTTTGGGCTTATTTCCACCAAAGCTGTTCTTTCAGGAAACAGCTAGTTCACCGTACCTCACCTACAAGTCAGAACCAGCTTTTGAACTATTTAGAAACAGTCAGATGTGGGTTAAAAGGGCATGCTAGTTTCAACAACAGCTCTAGAATGGACAACCACTCATTCACTGTCAATTTTCCAAAGACGTAGATACTTGTAATTTGACATCTTTACTTTTCTTTTCATCCGTTTACATATCTTTCACTCCCTGTAAGCTGTGAGCTACAGTACAGGAGAATGTGTGACATCTTTGCACGCCCTAGGACCAGCAGTGTCTGGCACATAAAAGTGTGGAATTAACTACGATAAGGAAGTGCATGCTGCAAACAAAGGAAAACGGAGAGGAGCGTTTCAATGGCAAAGTTAAGGAGCCAATTATCCTTTAGAGAAGTACAGACGTTGGGCCCACCCAGGCCAAAATGTAACAAGTGAAGAGGCATCTGGAAGCCACAGTCAGGAATTGCAGTCCTACCTACCTTCACTCTTTATTGTGTCTGGGCGTTGCGGCCGCTCGCCCCGAAGAGCCCGAGGCCTTCTGGCAACCGGCCGCCAGTCCCCGCCTCCCGACAGGGGTGGGAACACCGTGAGGCTGGACCCTGCCTCGGCCTTTCTCCCGTCCCAGCTCCGGCCATGCCTCGTTCGCGGACTACACTCCGGCCGCGTCTCCCTGCTCCAGGCCATACCATGACAGAGCAATTCCAGTGGACCAAAGGCGGACTCGGTTCACTCACCTACTTGGTAGAGCCGGCCCTCGGGTGAAAAAATGGTAATGTGACGGTCAAACCCAGCGCTGGAACCACGGGACATGTTGGCGAACCCACTACTTCAAGCACTGTCTCTGAGCCCCGTAGCTCCCACACCAGGCGTACAAATCCCCCCGGAAGTTGCAACGACTGCTTCCGGGGCACCGGCGAGCTTCATCCGCTCCTGCGCGCCGAACTCCCGGCTCCAGCGTCGGGCGGGCGCGGAGAGCTCTCCGAGGCCCCGCCCCTAGTTGGGGGTGGGGAGGGCCGGGAGGCCTTCGGTGTGCGCTTGCGCCGGCCCCTCGGCTGAGCGCTGTGCAGAAGCCCCGTGAAACTGGCGTTGAGGCGGTTTAGAGCTTTCATCTGGCGAGTGAATTGACCGAGGCGAGGACTAAGAACCTTTCTGGGCGCCCAGACTAGTGATCGGCCTACCGGTGGGACTTAAATGGATGGCGTATTTAAGTCTGTCGTTAGTTTTGGGACGTGTAAATCCAGCTTGGGTCTAGATTGCTGGCCTTGTTCCTAATCTGCTCTGTACTCACCCACTTTTCCTTCCTGCCACAGGGGAAAAGGAGTTGCAGCGACTGCGGCAGTAACCGTTCGTTTTAGGTACGGAAGGGAGCGGGTTCTGGTAGGCACTGCAAAGAGCAGGGTTGGCTGGCCAGGCAAGACCCTCTTGGCCAGCTGCCCCAACAGTTTGTCTTAGAAATGGAACAGGAAATATGGGTGTAATGGAGGAATAGGAGGTTAAGTTGCCTTGATTGATAATGAAGAACAGAAGGGACGGGGCGTATAGGAGGCTGTTGTTGAATGAACTGATGGGAGTGATTCCAAGCGAACTGGGTAGCCCCGGGAGAACAGCAGGTGGCTTTTCAAATTGTAAAATTGCCTATTTTGACTTTTCCCCAAGGCACACTTCTATTTAACCAATAAAAAACGCAAAACATGACTGTAGGCCGGTGTCATTCCCCCTCCCCCCCCCTTATAGTTTGTGCACTAGGAGGGCCAGTTATGCCAATGTTTCTGGCACTTCAGTGCCTGCTGTAGGTAATATCGAATAGGGATTCTTACCTTTTCAACATATTTTTTCCTAAACTCATTTTGCATATAAAGGGGGAAAAATGTGTAAGAACCTCTTGAGTTTAAGGAAGCTCCCAATTTTCAAGAATGTTTTTTTTAAAAATAAACTTCTATTTTATCAACCTGAAAAAAAAAATCCAGAACTTAAAGAAAATACTAAATGCAAACAGCATCTCTGGCACACCGGGTACCTTCCAGCTCTAGCTAATTTCCAAGCGTACTGATAAAAGTTGTCCCTTGCTTCTGATTCAGGTCCCTACCCTCAGGACCACCTCCTCCTGACATTTTCAGTGTTTTTTTTCCCCTCCCACACTCTGACTTACCTTGGTATATTGTAATTCCCAGACGTTGCCTGAATAATAATAAAGAGTTCTCTGTAAGGCTGCTAAGGAGGATGGACTGCCTCAACAGCCCCCTCTATGCTGGTGTGTCCCAAACCTAGGTCTCTAGCTGGATCCTTCTCTGGAGCATACTCTCTCTCTTTTTTATTTTTATTTATTTGCTTTTAAAGATTTTATTTATCTATTCATGAGAGACATACAGAGAGAGAAGGAGGCAGAGACATAGGCAGAGGGAGAAGCAGGCTTCATGCAGGGAGCCTGATGTGGGACTTGATCCCAGGACTCCGGGATTATGACCTGAGCCAAAGGCAAATGCTCAATCACTGAGCTACCCAGGTGTCCCTCACGCTCTCTTTTTAAAAGATTGATTGATTGATTGATTTGAGAGAGGGAAGGAGAGGGAGAATCCCAAGCAGACTCCTTGCTGAGGGTGGAGCTGGATGCAAGACTCAATCCTAACACCCAGAGACCCCAGGGATCATGACCCAAGGCTAAATCTGATCCCCAAGGCTAAATCGAGTCAGACCCTCCACTGATTGAGCCACCCAGGAGCCCCATGGAGCACAGTCTTATCTAGTTGACTGTTTTTTTTGTTTTGTTTTGTTTTTTTTTTTACATTGAGACACATGGTACCTTAAAACCCATTGTGTTTAAAACAGAGCTCATCAGTTAGTTGATGTGTGGCTCAGTTGGTTAAGTGTCTGCCTTCTCCTTGGTCATGATCTCAGGGTCTTGGGTTTAAGCCCTGCCTTGGGCTCTCTGCCGTGGGGAGTCCGCTTCTTTTTTTCATCCCTACGCATGCTTTCTCACTCTCAAAAAAATAAAATTGTTGAAACACAAAAACCAAGCTCACCATTTCATCTCTTTCACACCAAGCCAGTTCCTGTCCCATGTACCAACTTAAGTCCTCAGGGCCAAAACCTTGATGCAGTCTTCAATTCTCCAAAACTTACTCTGTCCCTGTATAATCCTGATCTTTCTTTATTCTGCTTTTTTCTTTTCTGTTCTGTAGTTTGTAATTCTGTTCACTATATTGTCCCCTTCCCCCTCCACTCCCTCCAACTAAGCTCCGTGAGAGCAAGAATCTTTGTGTTCACTAGTATAGCTCAGGCAACTTGAATAATGTTGAACATACATCAAGTATTCAATGAATATTAGTCGAATGAATGAATCTCTTATAGCATAAGGGTTAGAAGTGCATCCTTTTAGGGCAGCCGGGGTGGCTCAGTGGTTTAGCGCCACCTTCAGCCCAGGGCCTGATCCTGGAGACCCGGAATCGAGTCCTGCGTCCTGCGTTCAGCTTCCTGCCTGCAGCCTGCTTCTCCCTCTGCCTGTGTCTCTGCCTCTCTGTGTCTCTCATGAATAAATAAATAAAATCTTAAAAAAAATGCATCCTTTTCTATTTTAATGCCATTGAATGAATGTAAATGCCATTTGCGACAGTTTGTGTACTAGATATGTGACCTTAGGCAAACTCCCTAACTCGGCCTGGATTCCCTTATTTATTATATTTGGATAAGATTTGCTTTATGGAGGCTGCTGTGAGGATTAAATGAGAAGACACTAAACACAGTACCTAGCATATAACAAGTATTCATGAAACAGTTGCTGTTGTTGCTTTCCTGTCTGGTCGGTTACCAAATCCTGTTGATTATTCCTATGGGATAGAATATATCTGCTTTTCATTTCCCATGCCACTCTGAATTTAGAGCCTTTTCACAGTTTGCCTCATCTGGCACAATAGAGTCTCTTCTTGCTGATCCACACTCTTGAAATAATTCTCTTGTGGAGCAAGATCTCGTTGGGTTGCTTCTCTGTCCAGATTTACTTGTGCTACTGAATAGTCTTTTGCTTAGAGTTCAGAGTTTTCTACAAGTTGACCTGTACCTATGTTTTCAGCCTTGTGTTTCTGCTTCATCTGCCTATTTCTTTCCCAGGAATACTCCATAGCACTGCTCTGAACAGCACTGCCTCATCACTCCTCAAGTTCTCCTAGTTCCCCCATACTCCTATTCCTCCCTCGAGGACCACTCATTCCCATCCCCTCTTTTTTTTTCATGATTTTTTAAAAAGATTTATTTATTTATTTATGATGGGGCGGGGGCAGAGACACAGGAGGAGGGAGAAGCAGGCTCATGCAGGGAGCCTGACACGGGACCCGGGACTCCAGGATTGCGCCCTGGGCCAAAGGCAGGCGCTAAACCACTGAGCCACCCAGGGATCCCACTCTCCATCCCCTCTTTTAAGAAGTTTAAGTCCACCAATTGATCTCTTCCCCTCTATATGTCCAATGCACATAATTTGAATCTTTTATTAGCCTGAACCAAATGGAACGGCCATGTTTATAGGTCAAAATGGTCAAATATTGGTAATTATATGTTTTAACTTAAAGAGTTGTGTGTCTAGACTTCACCAAAGATTAGCAGAACAGAGGCTGGGTACTTTTCACCTCTGTATCTTCTAACACCTCTGGTAAGAGGCTTGGCTCATTCAAGTTCTGTAAATGACTGTTAAATTGAACAGAAAACTGTAAAAAGAAAGGGAATAACTGAGAAATGTTTTCATAGCCACAATACTTTCCTTCCCATGTAGATATGACTGCCATAGGCACCTCTGAGTATTCACTGCCATGCAGTGATGGGATATTTAAAATCATACACACTGTAGGCCATGAGAATTTCACATGTTCAGAGAAATCCTGATCCCTTTTTGAGGTTGCATTTAAACTGGGCCCAAAAGAGTCATTGGGCTTTGGATGGTATATACATTTTAATACTCTTAAGGATATTTGCTGGAAAGAATCAGCCTTATTTTTCAAACAAACTGGAAAACAATGATAACATCAGACTCCTTGAGGGCAGTGGTCACATCTATGTTGCTCTCCTGTGTGTCCTCAATGCCAAACAATGTCTAGCATCACTCAGTGAATATGCAGGCTCATGACTTGAGTTTTCTGTTATGCTTATCTTTCTTTATTTGAAGAGATTTGTGAATAAATGAGAAATCCAAATTTCAAAAATCTAAAAGTCCAGAGATTTTATCTTAGATTTTGATGTTTTTCCACATAGGCATATGAATTCCTCTGGGAAATCTTTCAGAAAGACAAACCCCTTGCTGATGCCACTGCTGAGGGAAATCCCCTGGAAGCAGACTGAATATGTGCCACTGGGTACGAAGCAGCAGCTAACCTACTCACCAGGTGGACTTCCCCCTGTGTTGGGGAGCTTTCACCAGAGTCGTCAATGCTCTTGCAGCTTTAATACAGGCCTATGGGGGCAGACTTGCTGTGTCTGTGTGGAAAGTTTCATCTTCCTCTCTGTGGGGCCACCAAGGTAGACTTTTTGAAATGACTTTCTGGTTTTTTGAAAAATTTTAGAGATGACTTGACATCTTGTGAGTCTTGGAAAATCTCCTGGGGGCCTCCATTTGGCAAGGCCCACATTCTCCCCTGGGGGTGGAGGTAGGTGGAAGGTTGGGGTTACCCACAAGGCAAAGGTAAAAAGTGGCAGCGTAGATTCCCAGTGACTGCAGGCATGCTGAATCACATGGTGTTTAAGGGCAAGATAAGAATTTAGCCCTAAGCTTAAATTGCTCTGCTGGCAGTTCAGTGAGCCAAGGAATATAAAAAATGAAGCTTGTCTGTGTTTCCATGTGGTATTAGTGGTTGTTGAAACACAATGCTCTGAGTTAGCCATAAACACTGGTAATATAGTACTTTAGGAGAGTTAGGATTTCTTGACCCCAGGGGTCAATGATGGCCAGGATGGGGCTAGGGATATAACAGCTTGGGTGAACAGTAGGAGAGAAGTAGATCTCTGCCCAGCTCCCTGGCCACATTTACCAGTCAAGTGCTCCTCAGGGGGCTGAGGGAAAGAACCTGGCTGAATTTGTAGCTTTACCTATTTGTACCTTTCTCATAGTATTCTCAGTGCTGCAGCTCTTCCTGCACCCCAGTAGCTATGACTGGCTGTCTGGGAATGGTCATTCTGTGAGGCTCTGAGGAAGAGAAGAGTGATTTCTCTGTACCCCAGTTCTATAATTTATGGGCAAAAGAGGACAAATACAGCACCAAACATGGGGTGAAGTGTGCTTCTGTTACTTACATGAAGCATGTGTGAAAGCCCTTCAAATCCTTTACCTGATCAGATGCCAACAAAGCAACACTCCCCTGCCCCCTTGCCCATAACATCTAGTGTGGTTCTCTCTTCTTTAGTACAAGTGGTGGGTACAACATGACGTCTGTCAACAGAACAGAGCAATGACACAACTGTCATTTCCCTTATGCTCCCTTCTTTCCTTACCAGTCAATATAATTCTGTGCCTGGATTCCATTAAATCATCACCAGTAATGAGAATACTGTCCTTTGATTTGAAAGGGAATTAACTTGAATCAGCCTAACCCAAAGGACATTTAATTAAAACTACCCAGGAACCACCCCGCCCCCGCAATTCTGTAGAGCAAAAGCCTTTTTTTTTTAGAACCAGAATCTTGGGATCCCTGGGTGGCGCAGCGGTTTGGCGCCTGCCTTTGGCCCAGGGCGCGATCCTGGAGACCTGGGATCGAATCCCACGTCGGGCTCCCGGTGCATGGAGCCTGCTTCTCCCTCTGCCTGTGTCCCTGCCTCTCTCTCTCTGTGACTATCATAAATAAATAAAAATTTAAAAAAAAAATAAAATGCTTTAAAAAAAAAAAAAGAACCAGAATCTTTAGTTTTCAGTTCACCCTTGATTTTTAGCTATAACAACTTCAGTAGTACCCTCTTATAATATTTGATGTTTCTCTTGTTTTCCCAAACTCCACTGAAATGAAGACCGAGCGCTCAACTGATCTCTTGTTTCTGGAACCCTAGGATCTTGAGAAACATCAAGAGTTCTCATGGGTCTCCCCAGAATACTGGAAGAAGCAATGGAAGACCCCAGCTGGCTTGGGCTTAACCGTTGGTGGTTTTTAACATACAACTTCCCCTTAGGCATGATAACACAGGAAGCCCTTCATAGCTTGAGAGAACTGCAATGTTCCAGTGAAAAATCAGAAGGGGAAGGGAGGGGTTGGAGTCTTAAACATGGTCAGGCTCTGCTCTGAGTGTCAGAAACACTGAATTACAATCTGAGCCTTGCCACAGACTGCCTGATGACCATGACCTTGGTTTCTTTTCTCAAACAGGTAAGCATGGTGTACCCACCTTTAAGGCACAGAGAAAAAAATATTAACCACTACAGTGAAAATAAGCTACCTAGTAGACTTGAACTCAGCTTCTCCCTCTGTGAAGGTGGGGGGCCACTGGTGAATTAGGATTGGCTGTTGGCTATTTTGCTTCAATCTTTCACTAGTACAGAAGGAAACCAAGTATTACACCAAGCTGCACTGCACTCCGCTATTGTTCAGAAGTGAAAGTCTATTTTCTTAACTTGGAGAGCAGCCAGTTCTTACCCACCTTGTCCCACACACACTCAGTCTCACCCACAGCTGTGGACAGGGGGATGGCAACTGTAAGCAACAATCAGTTCATTGGTAAAATGTTCATGCCTATCATATTGGGGTCCTTATGAATGTTATTTAACTTTATTCACTCTGCTCATCACCCTCCCCCTTACCCTTATTCCAGTCCCCTGCTCAGGTGGGGAAAGGGAGTTATAGAAGTTGGCTAGGCACCAAGACAGTGAGTTAAGAACAGAGAGGAAATAAGACTCAACAGCCTTCCCTTTAGCCTAGAGACACTTCCTCTTCCTTGAGGTTTCCTAATTGGCTTCCACTAATTCCTATTTTCTTACCACAAAAGTAAGTCATCTCTGATGCTCAGAATGAACCAGGCTCTCGTGGGGTAATGGGGAAGAGAACAAACGAATGAGATTTCTGATCATTATAACCAATATCTTCAGTCACTAATTTAGGAACTAGTTCTTGAGAAGCCAGTTATCAATGGGAAAGCAAGAGAGTGCTCCAGTCTGATTTTCTCCTTTGAAATGACATGATGGACCTTAGCTGAGATCCCCAAACTTCACCCAGAGTGCAATTGTCCACAGTGATGAAACAAAGGCAACTTTCAAAAATCAACCAGACAACAGATCTAAAACATTTTCAAGATTAACATTTCTGGGGCAGCTTGGGTGGCTCAGTGGTTTAGCGCCACCTTTGGCCCAGGGCCTGATTCTGGAGACCCCGGATCAAGTCCCCTGTCGTGCTCCCTGCATGGGGTCTGCTTCTCCCTCTGCCTGTGTCTCTGCCTCTCTCTCTCTCTCTGTGTGTCTCATGAATAAATAAAATCTTAAAAAAAAAGATTAAAAATTCTGGAATGATGTCCTACAGGGGTATAGCAAATTTCATTCTAGTCATCACAGTTCATAGAAAAATACATGCCTAATACATAAATATTTTAGACACGGGGGGGGGTCTAAATGGTAATGATTACAGAGGGTGGCATTGAGAAATTATTATTTCTTGAGAATCAAAGCATCAGACACCAAAAACTATATTCTTGAGCTAGCCAGCTCAAATTATCAGGGAGCCTGAGGGGAATTCACTCAAAGAAGTGGGAATCATTCATTTGGGGAATATAAATAATAGTGAAAGGGAATAGAAGGGAAGGGAGAAGAAATGGGTAGGAAATATCGGAAAGGGAGACGGAACATAAAGACTCCTGACTCTGGGAAACGAACTAGGTAGGGGTGGTGGAAGGGGAGGAGGGCGGGGGATGGGGGTGAATGGGTGACGGGCACTGAGGGCGGCACTTGACGGGATGAGCACTGGGTGTTATTCTGTATGTTGGCAAATTGAACACCAATAAAAATTATTTAAAATAAAGGAAATAAAATTTAAATACAAAAAAAAAGTGGGAATCAGAGGTAAAAATCAGGAAGACATTTTCAAACAACTTCTCCAAAGTCATTCAACAAACATGTATTGAGCCCCTTCTATGGGTAAGAAGATGGCTGGCTGCTCTAGGACACACACAGATGAACCAGATAGGGGTCCCACCACAGTGGAGAAGATGAAACATGAATAAAACCAATACTAACAGGAGCACCTGGGTGGCTCAGTCGGTTAAACGTCTGCCTTAGGCTCAGGTCGTGATCCCAGGGTCCTGGGATTGAGCTTGGCATTGGGCTCTCTGCTCAGCAGGGATCCTGCTTCTCTCTCTCTCTCTCTGCTGCTACCCCTGCTTGTGCTCTCTCTTTCTCAAAATCTTAAAAAAAAAAAAAAAAAGCCATACTAACATGAGGCAGTTCATGATACATAAGGTAGAGTCCAACAGACCACTGTAAATGGGAAATTACCTTGGGTCATAGGAAAGGTAAGCTGCCTGCTGGAAGAAGTTTATCTGTGCTCAGCTTAGGAGGGCAAGAACTCTGAGAGGCATGTTAGTTATGAGCAGCGTGAGTGGTACCGCGATGCAACATGGAGTGGGAGTGGCATGAAAAGAAGCAGGGGAAGAAAAAAAAGAGCCTGTGTTTAGGACATGGCAATGGCCTAGCTTGACTAAGACTCACAAATATTCTAGATTAGGATACAAATGCAGGGAGGAGGCCTTGAATGCCAAAGCTAAGGAACTTAGGCTCTGGTTGAAAGGCAATGGGGAGATATACAATGTTTTTGAGTTAGGGAAGCAGCATGATTAGAATTATGTTCTGGAACTATAAACCTGGTGGCAATGTTTATGATGAACTACACATGGGGATATCAATCAGGGGGCTGTTGCTAATAGTCCAAGAAGACGTTTCTGAAATCCTGAACTGGGGTGGTAGTAATGAGAATGGAAGAGAAAGAATATTTGCAAGAGATTTTTTTTAATCACTATCCCTCAATTGTTGAAAGTAATATACTATTCAAAGCAGCGCTACTTGTAATAGGCAAAAACTGGAAGCTATTTAAATGCCTGTCAACAGTACAATCAATAATTTGTGGCATATTAACACTACAGAACATTGTATAATAATGAAAATGAATGAACTACAATTACATGCAACACTATGCATGGACCTCACCTACTATCGAAAGGAAGAAGCCAGGCGGAAAAGAGTACAACTTGAATGATTCTATTTTTATAAGGTATAAAACCAGGCAAAATGGATCTATACTGCTAGAAGATTAGATAGTGGTTACCTTTGTGGGGGCAAAAAATGATGGAAGCAGGCATCTGGGTTCTGGTAACAGGCATGATGAACAGATTGTGGTTAAACTACAATATGATTCTTCCTCTCCCACTATTTCTTGCCCCTACTTGAAAATTCTGACAGGTCTTATTGCTTCTCTGTTCCTTAGATGATATGCACTGCTATGGTCACTTTAAATAACAAATGCATTCTCACTCCAGAAATTAGAATATCCAGTTCTAAAACAATAAAAATTCCAAACAGCACTGCACCATTTCTAATCACTGCATCATTTCTAATCTGCCAAGCTTAAGCTGGTTTCAGGTTAAAGCCTCTAGTGGAAAGGGGTTGGGAGCATGGTTGGCTTTTCCTCCTAATCACTCCTGGCTCAAAATTGTCCCTAGCCAAGGTGGAGGATGGGCAGTGGAGGGCTAGAATAGAGAGGGTAGGTAAAAATGAGTGGCTTAATACTTTCTAGGCCTAGCAGATGTTTAAAGCTGGTGTTTCTGGCGAGCCTGACAGATGGTTAAAGCTGATGCTGCTTCTCTTGGCCACTCTTCTAGGTCCATCAATGGTTCTCTGCTGGGTCCATTTATCTTTATATGTAGGCGACCAATTGCAGCTCCTTCTTGAACCCCCTGGACATCCAGAAGTTCCCCTCTAGTCCAAAACGACCCTCTCTTTCCCATATCTGGCCCCCATCAGATCTTCCAAGCCAGAATCCTCTCCAGTTTCCTTTCCAATGCCCCTTGTCAACCCTTCTGTCATCTATATTTTCAGGCAGACTCAAGCTTCAGCTTTCCCAGGCACCAGCACTCTGGGTCAGCCATACTGCAGGAGGATCTCCCAAGTCCTTCTACTAAGGCATCATTCTTGGGGTTCTGGGGTCAGAGGGCACCCAAGGAACTCAGAGCACAGGTGCTCTCCAAAGAAACTTCTTTATCTTTTTCCCTCCTCTGACTCTTTTATATCTTTGGCCTGGCTAAGGGGCCTGAGGTTGTGAGGCAGATTCTCCTTCATTCTCTTTGTAAAATCTGCCTATGTGGTATGTGCCTCACACTCATCTGGGAATCTTTATATCTAGTACATTTGTGCTTCTGTGGAATGTGGCACATACATTGTAACAGTTTCAGACTATGTAGAAGATGAAAAGAAGAAAGTAAAAATCATCCACAATTCTAACACCCAGAAATATCTGACATTTTGGATTCAGCAAAATGTTATATCTTTAAAATAGAAATTTAACATTCTGTAACATTTAAAATTACACCTACTTCTTCATTTCCTTGTTTTGAGCATTTATTTACAATTTTGTTATTATTATCAATAGCACTGTTATGAATATCTTCAGTACAAAGCTTTTTTAAAAAAGAACTT